CACTTTCTCCTCCACATTTGAACATGGCCAACTCGAAACACTCACCCTCCTTCCTTGTTCTCTTTTTAGTGCTCCTCCGCCTCCTCTCCATCGTTGCCAACGTCGCCAACTCCAACGTCTTCTCCAAAAGCCTTTCTCCTTCTGCACTCGAACTCAAGCAAGAGAAACTCACCCACCTTCACTTTTACGATCCAAGAGATACTCTCCGGAAAAATCCCCACCGCCATCCGCGTCGCTCAAGCACCAACTACTAACACCTCCTCCACTAGCTTCGGCGCCATGAATATAACGGACGACCCTTTGACTGTTACTCCCGACATCAACTCCACCCTTGTAGGAAGAGCTCAAGGACTTTATGCATCGTCGTCGCAGGAGGAAACTTCCTTGATGATGGTAATGACCTTTTCGTTCTTGGAAGGGAAATACAATGGGAGTACGGTAAGTATGTTGGGGCAGAACCCACCGTTTAACAAGGTGAGGGAGATGCCGATTGTCGGCGGCAGCGGGCTTTTCCGCTTTGCTCGTGGGTTTGCTCAAGCGAAGACTAATACCTTTAATCTCACTACCGGGGATGCTTGCGTTGAATATAATGTTTATGTTCTTCATTACTGATTAATTAATTTACTTTGATGGTTTCATTGTCGCTTTTGGTCTGTTGGCTTTGTGTATACTTACATTGTACTGCTTTGGTTTTAATCTTTGGTAATGACGATGATACAATAAAATGAGAAATGTTTTGTACAATCTCACTTGGTTAGTTCATTTGCAAGTAGCTTTTTCATTAAACAAAATATCTTACTGTCATTTATGCCCCCAAAAAAAAATATTCTTACTATCGACCATCCCGTGGTGACTTAGCGGCAACCCACTTTGAATACGTGTGATAAAACAGCATGTTTTAGATTCTAAACCCAAAATTTACTTCTCCTCTCTTACCCAATTTCCTAATATTTAAAAATAATAATAAAAAAATTTCTTCCGGTCGAATTGAAATTGGGCTGGTGGCGGAAAATGAAATTGGACTTTTTGCTCTAGAAGGCCCAATACGGAAAATGCGAACAATGACTAACACATCTAAGGGCTGTTTTGTTGGGATTTTCGCTAAACTTTTGTAAAGTTTCCTCTTGTAACATTATATTAGTAATTTTCACACATTAATATTATAATAAAAAATAATATTTTTAATTTTTAATTTTTTATCTATAAAATTTTCTTCTCATAAGAAAAAATGTTTTTTCCCCAAAACTTTTAATGTAAAAGTTGCTTAATAACTTTTTTATCAACTTTTTATATGTTAGTTTCTTATTAAATAATAAAAAATTAATAATCTAACAAAACAACACTTCTTTACAAAATTTATCAACATTTTATACTATATTTATTAATTTTTTTATAAAATATCTTCTTAACCACTTTCTTAATAAAGTTAATCACTAACCAAATAGGCACTAACAGTTTGGGCTTCTCCACTAGTTTGCTACTCAGGTGCCTAAGCCTATCAAAAGGAGCTTGACCCATTGT